GTGATGGGATTAAAGGTGTGCACCACCAGTACCCGGCTGAGCTTGCTCGGGGCTTAAGAACAATTACTGTTCTTGAAGAAAGAAGCTGGGGTTTGGCTCCCTGCACCCACATGGTGGCTCACATGTGTAACTTTAGTTCCAGGGAATCTGATGAGCTCTTCTGGCCTCTGTGTGCACCTCACAGTCACATGGTGCACATACAGGTAAAATACTCATACATATCAAAAATACAAAATTAAATTTGTTAAAAATAGCAAATGAAGCTGGACAGCAATGGCACACACCTTTAATTCCCGCACCGGCAGAGGCTGATCTCTGAGTTAGAGGTTAGCCTGGAATGAGTTCCAGGACTGTCAGGGCTACACAGAGAAAAACCTGTATCAAAAAACAAAACAACAGCCGGGAGGTGGTGGCGCACGCCTTTAATCCCAGCACTTGGGAGGCAGAGACAGACGATCTCTGTGAGTTCGAGGCCAGCCTGGTCTAGAAGAGCTAGTTCCAGGAAGGAACCAAAAAGCTACGGAGAAACCCTGTCTTGAAAATCAAAAAAACAAACAGACAAAAACCAACAAACAGCAAATTAAACCAATAACAACGTTTGCCAGCGGTCCGAGTCGCTGGCTAGACAGGAATAGCAAAGTCCTTCCACATTGGTCTCTGTACCAACCCTGCGTCTGAATTGGGAGCAGCTATGTGAAGTTTGCACGTTGGGTCCTGTAAAGCCGTAAATCCACTGTCTGCTCTAATGATCACAAACTAGATTGAGCTAGAGAAGGCCCAACTCTATTGTGATCTGGAAACTGAAGAACGCTTGTCTTTCCCTAAATCGCTTCTGGGACACGAGTGTCTAGATCACTGTCTTTCATGCTGTAGTGTGCCTAAAAATGGCATCCTGAGGTTGTGGACCCCAGACCCACGCATACTGTTCTTCATGCGCAATAGGAGCAGTTATTACATGTATTGGCTTTATTTCGGAGACCAGTTAATAATTCCAGGGCTGGCTGCAGGCGCTAACCTCTCCGAGTTACCCCAATACAAGTCCCTGTGTGCATTTCTGCCCTCCCTAGCTCTCCACCCTGTGTGCTCCCCTTCCTGGTGTGAGCTCCTACTCTGGCCTCTCTGCCACCCCATCTCTCTGTACTCTTTATGGGGTACCTTAGGAGTTTTATAGGGTACAGAGAGGTGGGGTAGCAGAGAGGCACGCACCATACAGTACCTTTCCACTGGACCATACCCCAAGTCCTGCCGTCCTTTATGACCCATTTGCCGAGCACTCTTAGTCATGGAGAACTTTGGCACCTGACTCAGAGTTATCCTCCCCACCGCTATCCAATACCCCGGTGACTCCAGCATCTCAGCCTACAACTCGTGCCAGTTCACAGTTTTGTGCAGTGCAGCCCACACCAATGCTCTTGCCTCGCTCCACCAGTGGACTTCACAGTGAGCTCACAGTGAGCCTCGAGCTCTCTGGTTCTCTTTGTATCCCTCTCCTTCTTCCCCTCCCCCCTTTTGTTTTGTTGAAATAGGGTTTCTCTGTAGCTTTGAAGCCTGTCCTGGAACTCACTTTGTAGACCAGGCTGGCCCCAAACTCACAGAGATCTGCCTGCTTCTGCCTCCTGAGGGCTGGGATTAAAGGCGTGTGCCACCACTGCTTGGCAGCCCCTTTCTCCCTCTAAGTCTTCAACTCCTCATTTTCCCCAGGCCTAAGCAAAAGGGGTTCCCATCCACTTCCGTAGTATAGGTCCCACTCCAATCTTCTAGGATTGTGCCCATTCCTAGAAGAGGTGGCATCTTCAGGCCAAGGGATCCCCTCCCCCCATATGAAGGCCCATTTCCACATAGAGGAGCTTTCCAAATCCTGTGAGCCTTCCGCAGCCTGTTCCAGGGCCTGCATGAACTCTACCCTTAGCTGGTTTGTGCTAAGGGTGGACCGAGTTGCATATCTATCTCTAAACCCATGCGATAGTCAGAGTGTGTAAACCTAAGGGGATGGCACTCGGCTGTGTGGACTGGGTGGCCCTCTACCAGTACGTATCAGAGCCTGCGGCAGTCAAAGAATGTGTGCATAGGGCCAGCTCTTCTGACAGGCCGTCTTTGAGCCCATGCAGGAGCAAGACTGACTTTACCTGCTGGATCTCAGAATTTCAGAATTGTGGACCAAGGACTCTCGTTTCCCACCTTTCTGAGCAAGGATGTCTTTAAAGTAATCCTGTGCTCATTTCACCATTGTGTGCTGGAAGTGGGTGAGGGCAGAAAGCTAGTCCCTAGTTCACAGGAACTGAAGTCAGGGAACTAGTCATCTAAGTGGCCCCATTCTGACAGGAAGCTGGAGGGTTGGGGCAGGTTATCTGTGAAGTAATTAATGTCCTTGCGTATAAGAATGGAAATAACTCTGTGAGCAAAGCATGGGCTGCAGAGTTGTAAAATATGTCCACATATTCACTGACACGTCTGTCACAGGATGCAGCCCAATTTCCCTCCCCTTGGTATAAACTGGTCTGAGTAATTTACTCTTTTTTTTTCCTGCATTTTCTTTATTTCTATTTTTTTTTCATTTTCAATACCATGGATTTTTGTTTTGTTTGTTGAAAAAAATTCCTTATGTAGCCCAAGCTGGCATCAAACTCACTATGCAGTCAAGAATGACCCTGTAGCCTGGCAGTGGTGGCACATGCCTTTAGTCCCAGCACTCAGGAGGCAGAGGCAGGTGGATCTCTATGAGTTCGAGGCCAGCCTGGTCTACAAGAGCTAGTTCCAGGGGCTGGAGAGATGGCTCAGTGGTTAAGAGCACTGCCTGCTCTTCCAAAGGTCCTGAGTTCAATTCCCGGCAACCACATGGTGGCTCACAACCATCTGTAAGGAGATCTGGTGCCCTCTTCTGGCCTGCAGGCAGATTACTGAGAATACTGTATACATAATAAATAAATAAATCTTTAAAAAAAAAAAAAAAAAACTAGTTCCAGGACAGGCTCCAAAGCTACAAAGAAGCCCTGTCTCAAAAAACAAACAAAACAAAACAAACAAACAAAAGACCCTGATCTGTCTGCCAGGTGCCAGGATTCCAGGCACGTGCTACCACATCAGGCTTGGTCTTTTAGCAGTTTGGATGTGAACATTCAGATTGTTTACTGAATCCTGCTCAAAGTGAAGACCTTGAAACAATTTCTCTTTAAACTTATCCTGTCCTATCTATGCTCTCCACCCAAGATAGCCAGGAAATTAGATTCCTCCCTCCCCAGACAAGGTTTCTCTGTAGTTTCTCTCCAGCCCCCTTAACTTATTTTTATGTCGATGTATTTGTGGCATATGCAGGGAGCAGCCAAAGCCCTGAGAAATGAAGTCCTGTGTGAATGCATATTAGACCCGGGTATGGCCATGCCATAGAATCCCAAGGCCTCCAACCCTTGGGACGATTGGCAAAACCCATGTGGATGGAGCCCAAGAGAAATGGCAAAGCTTCCCTCGAAGGTATGAATGTTTATGGAAGGCTGATGACTGGAAAAACTAGCAACAGTCCCTTCCTCCTCCCACACGTCTACAGCCTGAGACCACTGCCTGCAGACACCTCCTACCAAGACTGCCTAGCCCCTGCCCCTATGCAGGTTGCAGTGACAGCAATCAGAGAACCCCACCTCACCTCAGTTTCACTGTACGGAGATCGTTTCTTCATCCCCTCCCTGCCCCAACCAGGGTTCCTGGACCAAAGCTGCATTGGCCATGGTGGTATATATACATATATTTTCCATGTGGGTGCATGTGCAAATGTGTGCACATGCATGCCTGTTTCTTCGTTGATGACTCTCTAATTTACTGAGGCAAGGTTTCTTGCTGAATCCAGAGCTTGCCAATTTAACTGGGTTTTGGATTGGGGAAGCCCAATTTGCCATATTTTCACTGTTTAGGACGAGAGTGAAAACTTCACCATGCTTGAGTCGAGGAAAAGTTCAGAGATAACTGGTTTGTGAGTGTGTATGTGTTCGGAGTCTTTGCTCTCAGTCCGACTGTATGACTATTAAACATTATTAAACCTCACCTTAGAGATGAGGAAACTGAGGTTCACGGGCTAAATTGCCTGAGTTTTATTGAATTGAAGCTTCAATTGTCTCCATGTCTAATTTGTATGGGTGTCTGTGTGGGTTCAGGCATGCACGCTTATGCCCGTGGAGAGCAAAGGACTTCGGGTAGTCTCTATTGCTCTTCCCCTTATTCCCTTGAGGCCGAATCTTTTACTGAACTTAGAGCATTCTGTTTGCTGACCAGTTGGCAGAGAGCCTCAGTGACCCACTTGTTTCTGGTTCTGGGGCTATTACTGGATTTTAATGTGGGGGCTGGGGATCGGAGCTCAGGTCCACCCGCTGAGCCCTCTCCCAAGGCCCTGTTCCTATCTTCATTAGCGCGCACATTTCTTCTTCCCCCTATTTATCTCAGGCTGTAGCTTAGCCTCATACTGGCAGCGATCTCTCTGTTTCCCAAGAATCAGGACTGGCTGCTCCCCGATTCTCCTTGCACATCCAGAGAATGAGAGCACCCTTCTAATGCCTGGCAAACACGAACCCTACAGTTCTCCTCCTAGCTCTCCAGGCATCTCAACCAGGGGAAGCCTATTTCCCTACTGGATGGAGCATGGCTTCTGCACGTGTGTGAAAGCCATCCCATGCTTGAGTGGGAAGGAGGCTGCAGGAGCGCAACCATGAGGCTCTCAGAGCAGAGCCCACCGAGCCCGGCCCAAATTGGTTCCTCGGGAGCCCAGCCCCACCAGAAGATGACATTGCAGTGGGCGCTGAACCCACGAAGGAAGGGACTGGAGGCTGCAGATGGCGCAGCATACCTCACTTCGACCTCCCCGGCTCTGAAGTCCGGATCGGGCGGCGACTGCCTGCACTCTTCCTTGTTAGGACCCTCAGCCCGGAGGTGGAGGGGGTGCACGTGACCCTACGTGCTGCGGCGCCCCGCCCCGTCGTGACGCGCGTGGCCTCTCCCACACTGGCCCCGCGGGTGCCGTTGCGCCGCCTCCGCCGTTCCCGGCCCTCGCCTCTGGGGCTGCCCCGTACATTGCCTGACCCGTGGCCCGCCAGCTCCTTCTCGCCCGGTCCCAGCCGGAAGGTCCGAGACAGCTCACCTCGGGGGATCGTCGTGCCCTCAAACCCCGTGGCCCCTCCGGAGCAGGTGGGAGTGGGCGGCGGGCGGCGCGGCAAGGACAAGCACAGCGGACACCCCGGGCGGCGGCGGCGGGGTCCTGGCTGGGGGAGGCCAAGCTTGCGGCGGGGCGCAACGGTGTCTCCTTCACTTCGCCCTCCAGCCGCGTTGGCTGCAGCGCAATCGCCAGGTAGCGGAGCGGCCTTAACTGCGAGCGGAGCGGCGGCGGCAGCGCCCCTCAGGACACCCGCAGGTACTACGTCGTCCGCCTCACGCCGAGCCCGGCCTAGGCCGAGCGGGCCGCCTGAGCGGACTCGGGACGGCCCTGCTCCCATAAGATGGCCGCACCGGCCCCAGCCCCGGCCCCTTGCCCTTCTGTCCGAGATCCCCTGTGGGCCCTCTGATCGTTCCCTGACCGCACTTCTTGTCCCTTCTACAGATCTCCTTTTCCCCGCGGCTTCGCTATGGCGGACTGTTGTGTACAGACATGCCCACGGCGTAAGTAGATCGATAGACATGTCAGCGGTGGGGCTGCTGTGTCCCCTTTGGGAAACCATAGCCGGCCCCTCAGCGATCCACATGCCTGCAAGGTCTCTGCTGACGGACACGGTGCTGGGCTGTTGGGTTGCAGATAGGGGCTCGCGCCCTGGGCGTTGGTTCTTAGCCGTACCCACCCTCTGCTTTTGGATGTGTCATTTACAGATCCGAAAGCAAAAGAGAAACTACTAGTTGTTGAATTCCATTTTGGAGAATTAGATCAGTCACTTTGCTGGAGGAAGTAGTTCTCCGGCCTGCAGGGACCGTGCACTACAAGGTCATTTCTCGTGTTCCTAAGGGCGTGGACGTGCTCTTTAGAATGAATGAGCTGCGGGAGCTCAGATTCCGTGCCCTTAAGCCTCACTGCATTGGCGGAGTACTTGGGAGTCATATTAATGTGTTCAAAGTGCTATTTGATATTTAGTTGCCGTAGATACTTTACTGAAACAGAAGATGGTTGTATTTTACCCCCTATGTTTCAAGATGTTAAATTTCCGCCTCCGTGCCTCAATGTTGGTTTTGTTCTTGGAAGACATACCAAGGGATTTGCTAGGGGAAAATCCCTAAGTTTTGGTTTTTATCTCAGTTAAATCAGTCAATCCCCTTGAATACCGGCAAGTGTGTACACACGTACTAGTGTTGTGAGACTGGATACATTGTTCCGGAATTAGATAGGCTACCCCCTACCGTATTAGAACAGTCTGGTAGAACCGCCCCAAGTTTATATTACCACATAGCTTTTAGGAGTAAATATTGTTACGGATGGCTATTTAGAGTCAATTTTGTCGTGGTTCTAGAGGCATCAAAAACATAGTTCCCCTTAGTCTGCTTTCATGTAAATATTAGTCATAGTCCAATCATAATCCAGTCACATTAACTGTAGAATGTTTCTTTTCCCCAGCAATGTGTATCCCTCCATCCTATGCTGACCTTGGCAAAGCTGCCAGAGATATTTTCAACAAAGGATATGGTAAGGACTTTAGTTTTGATTTTAGCGTTTTTTTTTTTTTTTTTTTTTTTTTTTTTGTGCCATGCCTCATATTGGGATGTTTTTTGCTGAAAAGAGAAAATGTGTACTTGGATCCCTCAGGAAATTGGCTTGTTTTTCCAGACTGGATATCCTGATGGGTTGATGCTTTTTGTGTTATAGACTGCTATGCTGCACCAGGTTTCTTCAGGTCGAAGTTTACGAATTCTAACCTTTTAAGGGAAAAACTTTTACTTTTTTTCTTCTGTGTTTTTTGAGACCGGGTTTCTCTGTGTAGCCCTGGCTGTCCTGGAACTCACTCTGTAGACCAGGCTGGCCTTGAACTCACGGAGATCCACCGGCCTCTGCCCCCAAGTGCTAGGATTAAAGGCTTGTACTTTTATTCTCTTCAGTGACAGCTCAGCCCCGACTTAGTGTTTTCATTTTGTGTTTGTGACTCCTGGGAGGACCGAAGCCTTAAGGGGTT